AAGGTCCCAGCACCACACACACAAAAAAACACCACACACACACAAAAAAAAAACTATGTTATGCACAAAAATCTGGGTTAGGCCGACGTCCGGTCCAGACGGACTGGGGGGGGTCCGTCCAGCAAAACCAGACGAGCCAAAAAACATCCCAGTGCAATGACTTGCTGATTTCTGCTGCCGAGATTGACTGCGAGGCTGTATACTAACCTGTAGGTTAGATTCGTAATTTTGTTTGGTTGAGGGCTAACGGAGAGACCTGCCTGTAAGGAAATTCGTGAGGGAAAGATTTGCAAATCCGGGAAAAATACAGGCCCGGTACTAACCGAATTCCTACAGCTACCCTAACTGCCTATAGCAGGCCCGGGCTACCCCTAGGACAAACAGGCCCTAAGCGGCCTATACTGCTAGACGGTCCTATAGCCTATNCTACAGCTACCCTAACTGCCTATAGCAGGCCCGGGCTACCCCTAGGACAAACAGGCCCTAAGCGGCCTATACTGCTAGACGGTCCTATAGCCTATAGCCGGGTCYGGTAGAGGCCGAGAGGCCGAAACAGCAACGGTACCGGTCGGTCAGTCAGTCCGGTCTAGGTCTAGYGAGTCTATAKATAGGTTAGGCCCATCGATTCAGGGCTTTTGGGAATTCATTTTCGCAGGACCGCGTTCGTGGCCAACCAAGTGTTGCAGCGCTGAAAGTCTACAGCGGCACCTGAGACTTCAGCTACGTGAGGCAGCCATAGCCAGCCTATGAGAGACGGCCATAGCTGAGGCCAGTCTTAGYGCACCTACCCTCTGGGGGTATCTGCGTAAGGCAGGGCTATATTGAGGCTCTTCGTTGGGTATATGTGGGCGCTGCTGCCACGGTAGCAGCTCGGCAGCCATAGTTGCCTTCTTCTTCGTCAGAGTGACTCATCGGCACTGAGGACTGCATCGCAGTTCATGATCTTCATCTTGGTTGATGGCGCTGGCCTCTRGGAGGCTGTTTCAGTGTAGCGCTGGACTYTGAGAGTGGAGTAGTGAGTGGAGTGTGTGGTTCTGAGGTGGCRAGACACTGGGTTAAACTCTGTAACGATGACTGGGGTTAATTGAGTTGAGTTGGCTCATCATCAGTGTTATATTCCGATTGYGATCTTCGCAGTGTCATCTTGTGATTGGTTGTTGGGAGTTTGTCAGAGAGGGAGAAACAYTGCGTGTATTCTCTCCATCTRTGCATGGTTGCTATTCYGCTGCCTATCTCTGGTCWGTGTACAGTTTGGACTCTGTCTCTCCTCCCCTTTGTCTTGTGCATGTATGGGCATGTGGGAGATACCTTGTGAGTGAGTGGCGAGAAAATTGTCAGACAACCAAGTTCATAACAGTTGGTATTAGAGCGGAGATTGGACTTGGAACACTGAGGGTTGAGCGCAACAGAGGCACCTGCTCCTTCTGGCTCTATCTGGCGAGGAGCTCCATGCCGAAGCTTCATCTTCAGTGAAGATACAGAGAGGGGAGCAAGTATACAAGCGGTAAATTCAGGGATTCAGTGTGCGATTGATCAGGCGCCCTGAGCCTGTCTGAGTGCCTAACAGGATTTGGCGAGAACAGGGGTATTTCGCCATCCACCTTTCTGAGCCCAGTTGATGACTGAGTTCAGGGTGGCGAATTATACCCTAATCCAGTGATACCTAGGTGGCGGCATCAAACCCAGTATAACGCTAAGGGAGAATTGATCGCAGGATCAATCTCCTACTGAATTAGCCCTAATCTGGGCTGAATTTAGCACCAGCGGCTTAGCTCTGCAGTGGCGAGATATCTTCAGGAGAGTTCCCCATCGCCACTAAGCCAGATTCAGTGAATCTGAGAGTTGGGGTTGAAGCGCCACATGATACTGAGCAAGACCAACAAGTTTCAGGAGATTCTACGCGTGGAGATCAGTGGAGGAGTGTCTGCATGGAAGTGGAGAGATCAGGGTTTTGTCAGCCATAGCCAGAACTTCACCATCCACTGGAGCAAACACTGCAAGTGAGTGTGTTCCGTGTAAATCCCTGAGTAGCGACTAGTTTAGGATTAGTAGAGTCTGAATGGATGGTCTGTCTGTCAGTAGGGTCTCAATTTTGAAATTGTCAGACTGCAAGACAGCCATAGCCATCTTCTTCCTCCCTACCCTGACCCATATCCCACCATCTGCTGACTCTTTCTGACTCAAATTTGTTCTGGGACAGTATGACAGTATTGCGCTGCACCCTGTATGATCATTCTGTGACTTCTGTACAGAAAAAGTAGTGATACAGTGAATCTTAGTTTTGCGCTGAATCTATTTTTTGCCTGTGCTACCTAGGGTCAGTCAAAACTTAGATTTTGTCCGTCAGAATTCAAGTCTGTCAGTCTGGGGTGAATCGCAATTCAGTATTTGTCATCTGTGCAAAAGCGCTGGCCCAGAATTGGTGAATTTGAGTAGTTACAGGGAAATACTGAAAATCGTTGTGTCAGTGAGTATTTTAGTTGATGTCAACAATGGCAAAATTTGAGTTTAGGGCTGTCAGGGTCTACCCTACTGCATCGCTACTACTTGTTGCTCTATTTTAGCTAGTTCTTGCCTGTATCTGTCTCTACCACTGATTATCTCTGTTTTCTGATGGGCTCTGGAATGTTAGTGATCCATGGAATGCACTGAAAGTGTTTGTTTCAACTTCAGTGATAGTTTAGTGTCAGGTATAGGAAATCGTTAGTGAATGATTTTACTGGACTTTCAGTCTGCCTGATTACTGACCCCAGTGATTGTGTTCTAACCCTAACCGCTTGTGCCTACTAACCCACCTTAACCTGTGAATTGGTGTTGCAGCGATTTCTGAGTGTCTGAGTGGATTGTAAATCGCTGCACCTCTTGCTGTCTAACTCGTTTATTTATTGTTTCTGAAAGGTAAAATGACTGACGCTGCTAAATCGGGTGAGGGGCAGGTAGAGGTTGTGGTCAAGGAGGAAGGGAAACCTTCCCCCTCTCCTCCTCCTCCTCCTCCTCTCACCCCTGCCCAGCGGCGAAAGAGGGAAATTGAGGAAAAGTTGCGAGAGCAACAGGCGTTGCTCGCAGAGGCTCAGAGACAAGAGGCAGTTGAATTGGAAGTTGCAACAGATGCCTCCCGAAAAGAGTTTCTGTTGCAGCAAGCTGAGAAGACTGTCTCAGATAAGAGGGTAGCCCAGTGTACAAGATACTTGGCTGAGCTGGTAATTCTCCAAGGCAAGACTACCGCAAGCCAAGATAAGAGGGTAGCCCACTTCTGCTGCTGTTGTTGCAGGGGATCAGAGAGGACCCAAGATCCCTGCACCTAGCAAGTTTAGGGGCGATGACCCCAAAACTGATGTTGGGGACTGGGCTGCAGGAACCCGGGCCTATCTGAAGGGTTTCATGTGCCCAGAACAGCAGAAAGTGGCCACCGTTGTGGGGCTGCTGGAGGGCCCAACCCAGAAATGGGCTGCGTCAACAGCCAGCGGCCAGCAGCAAACACTGGAGGACTGGGCTTCAGCCTTGGGAGTACGAAAGCTTCTGCAGGCCCTGGAGGAACGCTTTGCAGACAAGGAGAGGGCCCGCAAGGCTGCTGACCGGATTACACGTCTGGGTCAGCAGCGCTATAGCGGTACTCTGTAGCAGTTGACCTCCACCCCTGGGCTTATCATGTCTGATGATGATCTGCTAACGAACTTTTGCAGGGCTGCGCCTGAGAAGTTTTCAGTTGCTTTGTACAGCGCAGGGCACAAAGATTGGAGATCTTTCGGCCGTGCAGCCCTGGATATGGAAGCAAAGCTCCATGTCCAGGCCCCCTCCAGTGATAGGAGGAGAGGCGCTTTCCCTCGCGGTGGTAGAAAGGGAAAAGCGGCCTTTGCCCATGCAGGGTCTGACACAGCCTCTGATTCAGGATCCCGGCCTGGTACACCGCCAGATGGGACTGCATCAGCTATTGTTTCAGATGTTGCAGCGGCCATGCAGCAGCTGCAGGCTGCGCTGGGAGCCTTCCAAAAGGCCGGGTCTTCCTCCAGCACAGCCTCCAACAGCCAAGGGAAGAGCAAGGGACGTCGCTCTTCTACCTCTGCCCGGTGCCCTAACTTGCCACGTGACGTCCGATTTCCAACAGACCCCCTGAATCCCAACACTCTCCCCTGGCATGATCTGAAAATCCAGGAGGGAGTGTGGAGAAAAAGGAAAGAGAGAGGGGTCTGTTTGAGGTGTGAGGGGCAGCACTTTCTCAAGGACTGTCCCTACATGCCAAGTCCAGCTCAATCAAAAAACTGAAGCTGACCCTGGAGACTGCAGTTCCCTCCAGTGCTGCTTGTGTACCTGCTGATGTCAGTGCACTTGCAGCAACTTCAGTTGAGACTGTTTGTGAGAATCCCAGTATGGGGACTGCGCGGGCAGCATCCTTCAGTTATGAGGATCCTGACCCGGATTAGGAACCGGAGCAGTCTGAGCTTCAGGCTATTGCTATTTTTTTCTTTTATCTGAAAGAACAAAAGCAAAGCAAATCTGATCTCATCCTACTTTGGCCCCTGATCAACCACAGCCGGATCAAGGGGCTGCTGGACTGTGGAGCCACCAAAAACTTCATGTCCCCCAGTGCAGTTAAGAAACTGCATCTGGCCATGAAAGTTGTGCAGCTGCAACACACGCTGCATGTCAGGATAGGTGACTCCACTGTTCTTACCATCAGGGAAAAGGTCAGGGGCATCCCTGTTACCTTTGACAACGCTGGAGAAGTCAGACATAGTCTGAACTTCTACATCTTCCCTGACTTACCCTTTGATCTGGTATTCTCCATGCAGTGGCTGAAAGCAGTCAACCCAAGGATCGACTAGCAGATCCCCAAGGTTGAGCTGCCTGACAGCAAGGGAGTGTATCAACCATGTATGATTGCTGCTGAACACCACCCTAAGACTTCATGCTTCTGCCTGAGAGCGAGGGAGTTCTATGCTCTCTCTCGCCAGTATGACCATGAGCGTCTATTCCTAGCTCTGGTCAAGCAAACAGACGCTCCCACTGTTGTCTATCCTCCTGAGATACAGCAGGTAGTTGACCAGTATGCTGATCTGATGCAGAAGCCCGTTGGACTACCCAACCGGCCAACCAAGCATCACATTGAGCTGCTGCCTGGAGCGGTCCCTCCCAAGGGCCGCATCTACAGGATGTCCCCTGCTGAGCTTGAGGAGCTCAGGAAACAGCTTGAGACCCTGACCAGCAAAGGTTGGATCAGACCCAGCACATCTGAATTCGGTGCACCTGTCCTCTTTGTGCCCAAAGGGAACGGCGAGTTCAGGATGTGTATTGACTACAGGGGTCTCAACAAGATCACTAGGAAGAGCACTGAGCCACTTCCTAGGATCGACGACCTGCTGGACATGGTCCAGGTATGTACAATCTTCAGCAAAGTCGATCTCAAATATGGCTACCACTAAATTGAGATGGCAGAGGAGGATGTCTACAAGACAGCCTTCAAGACCAGGTATGGTACTTATGAGTATCTGGTCATGCCATTTGGACTTTGCAATGCACCTGGCACCTTCCAGACAGAGATGCACCGCATCTTCAGGCCTTACCTGGATAAGTTTATGGTTGTCTACCTGGATGATATCCTGGCATTCAGCAAAACTACCAGGGAACATGCGGAGCAACTGGCTCCCGTTCTTCGGTCGTTACGTGACAGCCAGTATAAGATTAACAAAGAGAAGTCCTCTTTTGGGTTCCCCTCTGTTATCTACCTGGGCCACGTAATCTCTGGAGATGGTCTGGCTCCTGAAGCAGCCAAGATTGCTGCTATTCAGGAGTGGCCACAACCTCAGACAGTGAGAGATGTTCCGTCCTTCTTGGGTCTGGCCTCATACTACAGGAAGTTCGTCAGGAACTTTTCTGCAGTGGCTGCACCCTTGACTAACCTCACAAAGAAAGACACTCCCTTTCTTTGGTCCCTTCACTGTCAGATGGCCTTTGCACGACTCAAACAGGCCTTGACTCGTGCCCCTGTATTGAAGTTACCTGACCCCACTTTGCCTTTTGTCCTGACTACTGATGCCAGTCAGTATGGCATTGGGGCAATGCTTCAACAGGATGATGGGAATGGTCTACAACCCGTGGAGTACATGAGCAAGAAGATCAAAACCCAAAAGCTTCAGGACTCCACCTACGAGAACGAGCTGTATGCTCTTGTCAGTGCCCTAAAGCATTGGAAGCACTTCCTCCTGGGAAGATACTTCAAGATCTTCTCAGATCATTCCACCCTGCAGTGGTTGAAGTCCCAGGGAGAGTTAAACAAGCTGGCACGATACATTCAGTTCATTGACATGTTTGACTTTGAACTGAAGCATAAGAAGGGCTGCTACAATAAGGTAGTTGATGCCCTCTCTCGTAGGCCTGACTCTTTTGCATTCATCTCCTCTACTCACTCCTTTGGAGAGGAGACCCGTCAGACCATTGCTCGCTTACTGCCTCAGGACCCGACTTATGGACCCATTGTCAGGAACTTGCAAGCTGATCCCGATTCTGAACCTGGCTATGCGATGAGTTCAGATCCGCTGTATACCTACAGCAGAGGGGAGGAGCGCTTATGCATTCCTAAGGATCAGCAACTTAGGACACTGCTGATGCCAGAGTGCCATGACGCGCGTGGACACTTTGGGTTCTTAAAGTCGTATGCAGCCCTGTCGCAGCGCTTCTTCTGGAAGGAGATGCGGAGTGAGATGTTGCACTATGTGGAAACCTGTGAGCTATGTCAGAGGAACAAGGTTCAGCGGAAACCTCCTCTAGGACTGCTCAAACCCCTATTCATACCTGATGGTCCTGCTCAGTCTGTGTCCATTGATTTTACAGATTTAGGAAAGACCACCCCTGCGTGGACAGGTTCTCCAAATACGCAGAGTTCATCCCCTTACCAGAGGTGGCGAGGGTCCCGGCTGTGAGAGCAGTCTTTTCTGAGAGGTGGGTCACTCACCATGGGCCGCCCACTTCCATCGTCAGTGACCGAGATCCCCGATTTTGCAGCGAAGAGTGGCAGTCCTACTGCAAGGATTATCTGCACTCTCGCTTGGACATGACTTCTGGTCGACATCCTGAAGCCAATGGTGAGGCTGAAGTGATGAACCAAGTCCTGTTCCAGCTATTACGTCCTGTCATCTCGCCAGATCAACAGGACTGGGATCTACATCTGGCTCGTGCGCAGCTTATGTATAACATGTATGTCCATTCCTCGACTGGGTTCAGTCCGTATCGATTACATTATGGACGTGAGCCACATCAGCCTCTCGATGATATCATCGACAAGGCTAGGACGATGTGGAAAGAGCGCGAGCGAACTTGTTCAAAGCCCAAAAGGCACAATCGCAGACCTTCCCCCATTCGTACTGGTGACTATGTCTGGGTAGCCAGTTCAGAGTTGTCGAGGGAGAAGGATATTTCTCCCAAGCTGTTGCCTAAGTATTTGGGTCCATGGTAGGTGTTAGATACAGTAGGGGCTGATCCGTTTGGTCCGTTATACACCATTGACGTCCCTCTGCATCTATGTACCTATCCGGTCTTCCATGCATCTAAGTTGCATCCCTTCACCCCAGCTGATGCATTCCCTGACCGGCCACCTCAGTGGGGTGATATGACGTGGAATCCATTGAGGACGAGTGGGGCACTGGCCCCGACAGGCAGTATCTTGTGAAGTTTGCCTTCCAACCCCCGACTGAAAACCGGTGGTACTATAGTCAGTTGTGCTCAGATACGAGGCGGCTCAGAAGGGTAGCTTCCCTCGCCGTTCGCCTCGCCTACACCCCTAGCTCGGAGGTCCTCGCTCCCGGGGAGGGTAAGCCTGCAATGACTTGCTGATTTCTGCTGCCGAGATTGACTGCGAGGCTGTATACTAACCTGTAGGTTAGATTCGTAATTTTGTTTGGCTGAGGGCTAACGGAGAGACCTGCCTGTAAGGAAATTCGTGAGGGACAAATTTGCAAATCCGGAAAAAATACAGGCCCGGTACTAACCGAATTTCTACAGCTACCCTAACTGCCTATAGCAGGCCCGGGCTACCCCTAGGACAAACAGGCCCTAAGCGGCCTATACTGCTAGACGGTCCTATAGCCTAT